AAGTTGATGCACGTATCCTTTTGCCAATTCATTGCTCCCTTTTTGAAGACGCTTATTATCTTTCGGCCTATGTAGAATCTCTTTTAAGTTGGCCATACTTGTAAACATATTATACACATACTAGCATTGCGGTGGAAAGAATAAGCAACTCCTCTAGGCCATATCGTGTGAGGGTAGTTATGGTCACGGAAGGCTTGGCGTTTCTCACGATCTCCTTCCTCATCCAGCATCAGCTCATCGACTTGTTTGCTAAAATTTTTAATTTCAGACTTAAGGTTTTTTAAGCTAAAAATGAAGCATTTACTCTGTTAAGACGATGTCGCTCTGGTAAAGAAGGGCGCCTATGTCCTTCCTCATGTTTATCTCTTCAATTGAATCTCCCCCTTTTCTGATGTGATCTTTCTTGGTCTTTGTCAGACTCTTAGAAAGCAATTGAAGAAATTCATAAATAAACCTCAAAGAAAGAAGACTTACTGCTAATTTCTTAATTTGTTCTGGGCTTAATTCGGCGGTTTGTGCAAGCTTCTTGGCTATCTTACTTCTTGAGGCATAGAACCTTTCTCGGATGGCAAGAAGGCGATCTTTATTCAAAGACTAAAATGTGATTCCAATAGAGAGAGTGTGACTTTTTAGCTAAAGTTACGATTAAAGACACTTGTTGAATCGTACCGTCTTAATTTTGCCTAAGGCTTTTTTGATCGTTCCTGCCAGGCTGAGGTCTAGTAATCCAGCGCTGATGCATACAACAAGTAATGAAAAGACAAGAAATGCCCTCATCCTAAAGATGAAAAGACTGAGAGGCAAAAAAGTTTATCAAACTTTGACAAAGGCCAGAAAAGTGAACGCTGTACGGTAGCTCGATGTGCTGTTCTATATTTATAGCTTGAAACCATGACGTCTCCAATGTTTACATTGCAAGTATGATAGAACAAGAGCAAAAAATAAAGGCTGTTTCAACCTCACCTGGCATGATAGACAGTGTTTGTCATTACTTTCTGCTGCAGCTCTGAGCTGAGCGGGTCCTACTAGAATTAGTTTCATCCGCGCGTTTCTGATCGCTTTGATGCGTTCTCTCTGACGGGAGTGGGTGAGATTATGTCTTCTCAACCGCTTTAGTTGTGACATCCTCAGACACAACTAAAGCGGTTGAGGAAAATTGCAAAATGAGCTTATAAAAGTCGATTAAGAACAGAAAGGTTTTACCTATAGGTATTCCTCTTAAGATACATTTCCACTAATTAGTTTTAAAAGGTGATGTAAACATCACTTCTAAGAATGACAGTAGCTCAAATACTTTAAAAACTATAAAGGTTACTAGTTCTGAGTTCAGCATGTAGTAAAACATTGACCCTACAAATAAGTACGTTGCGCTGAAGATGGACGGGTCACATCTTTCTGATCGCCTGTGCAGCTTCGTTTAGAACTCTTGTAGATTTTTAGCAGGTGATTTACCCTCTGACAAAGCTAATATAAACAGTTCATAACGATAATCAGAAGTTTGTTGGTCCCATGCGCCAGAATGAATAATGCACGGTTATCAATGGTTTAGTAGATATCAAATAAAAAAATAAATGAAATCTTCAAGCCTGAGCCAATAATCCTCGATACTC